TCCAATTATGTAAAAAGTTTTCATTAAGTTTAATAAAGATAAGAGCATGGTCTCACCTTTAACATTAAAAAAAATAAATAAATAAATAAATATAATAATATACAATTGCTTCTATAAAACAAACATTATAACATTTATATAAGTATAAAATAAAATAAAATAAAATATAGCCCTGTTAAGCATAATGATATATATATTATTTAATTCTGTAATGCATCTAGTTTTCTTGCAATTTAGAGCGAAATAAAATATTAGTCGGGTTTATTAATAGGCTTACTAGCATAATGATATTGGACTTAAAAGTTTTTAATTAGTTTTTGATTTCAAACATATATTTGGTAAAAATAGAAGACCAATAGAAAATAATTAAAATTAAAATCGATCTACCAGTAGGCCTTTAATTTAATTCAATAACAATCTTAATTTATTATCCAATTTTTTAGCAATTTTAAATAAAATAAGATACTTATCAAGTTAATTAATAGACCTACTAAAAAATCGATAATATACTTGTTTTGTTTCTAAATATCTTCAAATAAACTATGATTTCAAACAGATATTTGGTGAAAACAAGATACTAATTAGAAAAATTTAGGATTGAATTAAGTTTAATATCAAAAAACTAGTAGACCTATACAATCTTTTAATAGGTATTCTAATTACTTCTAATAACTATCTGGTTTTCTAGCAATTTTAAATAAAATAAAATACATATTGTATTAATCAATTTGTCTACTGGCTATTCGATTTAAAACCTGAATTTTTCTGATTAGTATCTTATTTTCACCAAATATCTGTTTAAAATCATAGTCCATTCAGAGACATTTAGGATTTACCTGTTAGTAAACTTCTATATATATATCAGATTAATATAGAATATTTATTGGTTATCTGATTGTTATCTAATATAGTTTTGTTTGACCTGTATATCTTTTAGTTTATAAATATTTTGCTGTTTTAATGCTTTTTATATTTAGAGGGCTTCCAGAAATTAGCTGATTTATTTTTACTAATAAATTTCCTGAGTTCAGACCTCTACTATTATGGTGACATGTAGTATGCAGTGAATATGTATAAAGATAAGGGTAAAAGTAATCGATTGATCAGTGTCTTGTACATGTGATCATTGATCAAGATTATGGGTAGTCGGTAATATGGTTGGGATACCGAAGTAAGATATTCAATATATTATGAATGAATCATTTACGCATTAATAAGTAGTACAAAATAGTTTATTAGTAAGTTATGCATAAACAATTAAATAAAGTATGTAATCAATTAAAGAGACAATAGTCATATAATCAATATATGATGTAACAATTAGAGTCAAATATGTATATAAGGATCAAAGCGATAGTAATAATAAAAGAAGAGTTTGAGTTAATCTTTGTTAGTATTAGTATCTTTCTTAATTAATAAAGCACATTTAAATAACAAGTAAAATACTTGCCTTAGTATAAACTTTGAAATCCGGTATTAGCAAAGTGATTAAGTACTCCCCATCTGGGTTAGGTTATTTTGTAACAAAAGTTATAAATTAGCTCATAACACGAGAACCTAGACAAATTACTAGCTATCTTGCAATGAATTGATATCAATGGCCCACAAGATGAACCTAATATAGTAGTATTCAGATGATAGTGAAAGCATTGATAATAGTGCAAAGAAAGTGGAAGATGTCAGTAGAAATAAAAGTAAAATATCCAATGAAGATCCAAAGCTTGATATACTAGGCAATAAGATAAATTTATCCAAATATTTCTGGGACAATGTAGGCCATGATGATTCTGTAAAAAAGGTAGAAAGTGTAAAGAAAAAGATAGTTAATATAGTGAATACTTTTAGAGACAAAGAAGATAAAATGAATATGAGTGAACCAAAAATGGAGAACTTACCTGAAAGTCCTGATGAGAAAAAGATCGAAAATAATAAAGTTAAAGCATTCGAATCTTGC